ACCGTGATTGTGTTTGACCAACTGTTTGTTGACTGGCCCAGCCACTGTGAAGTTGGATGCTAACTTGTCAAAGATTGGAAGCTGCAAAGCCAGAGGTTATGGTTATGTTTTATGTAGCTCTTATATCCAGCTTTGTTTCTAACTCTTACATATTATTGAGCATTGTTTCTTTTTATTTTTTTTATCTTTATTTTATTTATCCGAAAGGCAGAATTAGAGAAAGAGAGAGGTCTTCTATCTGTTGGTTCACTCCCCAGATGTCTGCATTGGCTATAACTGGGCCAGGCTGAAGCTAGGAACCAGGGTACAGGGGCCCAAACACGTGGTCCATTTTCTCCTGCTACCCCAGGTACATTAGCAGGGAGCTGGATTGGTAGTAGAGCAGCCGGGACTTGAACCATGGCCCTGTGGGATTCCAGCACTGCAGCCGGAGGCTTAGCCCACTCTGCCACAGCACTGACCCCTGAGCATTCTCTCTTCCATTGACCCTAAACATTTCTTTCTTATATTCTCCTCCAAACCTGGTTTGTCTTGTTAATGAGCTACATAAAATCTTTAAAACACATCCTATGTGAAAGGTCATCAAGAAACTCATGCAACTGCACTTTATAAAAAGGCCACGTGGATTTTAAAACTTTTACACCAAAATAAACTTACCTATAATTCCATTTTTGAAAAACTCTCTTTTTTTGTTGCGAGTTGCCTGTCCTTGACAGGACCAGCAGTGTGCTGGAGGCCCACATACAACCTGAGAGAGCTCAGGGTGTGGACTGCATACTCTCCGGCCTTGCCTATGTCGGGGCTGGGGCAGCTTCGTCATGGAGGCCTCCTAAGGCCCACGTGCTTTCTCAGTCCCAAAGGCGCCTGCCATTTGCACAGAGGAGGAGCAGACGTGTTAGGAAGAGGCAAGACCACTTGCATGGGTACAGGTGTTGGAGGCCGCATGATGCCTTCAGGTGATGAGAAACTGCATCTTGAGAAATGTGGCAGAGCCAAACGGAGCCATGTGGCACCCACCAGGGCTCACCGGTAGTATGGCTCCCATCCAAGTCGACGCTCTTTAAAACCAGAAACCTAGAAGGGTGGGAAGAGCAAGGATGTCTGACCTTGGACATCAGGTGGTCTCTGTCGTCCCCATCCATTTGGCTCTAGCCCTCAGTCTGCAGATCTCATTGAGTAAAACTAAAGCCCGTAGTTAACTAGCATTGCCTTCCCGGGGAGTCCTCTTTCAGAGGATGGCAAAGGGGCCTCCGGGCTTTGACAGGGAAAGACCCTTCCCTGGAGACCCTCCGATGTCGGGGGCAGTAAGCAGGGATTTGAGCTCCTGCTGGATCCTCTTTTCCTGGGATCTCCGTGCTGGAGTTGCAGGCTGAATTCAGAGGAGATAAATCCACTCAGCGGCCTCTGGCTGAGCTTTGTCCGTTGCCCAGGAGTGCCCCTCCCTCCTCCGCGCAGCCTCCAGCTCTTGTCAGTTCTCTGCGTTCCTCTTGGTCACGTGGGTACGATGGTCTTGAATGCCAGAGCCACTGTCCTGCCCACGGGTGGCCCTGCTAAGCCTTGTCACCGCACAGATCTCACCCTGAGTGTGGTTCCTCAGACAGGCTGAGGGAGGCCCACAGGGTCAGGAGGCCCCAGACTCCAGTGAGTGGGTCTAGGGCCACTGAGGCAAGGGACAGACTGAATCCGTGTGTGCCCGGGGGAGTGCAGGGAGACCAGTTCCACACCTGGGCCCAGCCTTCCTTAGCCTTCTGTCAGCAGGGGATCCAGGGAGGGGCAGAGAGACAGAGAAAGGAGTGGCTTTGCGAAGGTGAGTGAGCGTCAGAGTTAGCCCTCAGGGACTTAGAGAACAAGTGAAACCCACCACACACGCGCCCGTTTCCCTCACCAAGCGTAGATACGGAAGGGGATGAGGAGCAAAGAGGCTGCACTGGTGGGAGCAGGTGCCAGAGGCAAAGAGCCCCTGTGGCCACTTGGCGCGTGAGCTACAGGTGCTTCCACAGCGTTTCACCAGGGCTCTCGAGTTGACTGGCTGGACACTAAAGTCACCTCCTTTTATTCCTGCCGGACTTTTTTGATTGTAGCCGATTTCCCGAGAATGAACACGAGTGCTGTGGTTTAGTAGCTGGAAGATCCCGTCCATGAGTAGGAGCTCACAGAAGCTGCCTCTGAAACCAGTGAACCCTACTGTGGGGGCCCCCAGTAGACAGGGCGTCCCTTCACACCCAAATTCACCCGAATTGGACAGGATTCGGCCAAAAGGAATTCATAACTGTTATCAGCAGCACGCGGAATGGTACTTCTGTGAGCTGCATAGCCATGGGCTAACGACTGCCTCTCCCCTGTATCTGGCCCAGGCCCCCAGCCACTCCCCCACCTCAGGTACCCACTGAACCCTGAGAAGGTTAGGCGGCCTCAGACCGTATTCAGTATCAGCTGGTCTCCTGGGTCTTTACAGACACTGAGGGAGTGGGGAGGGGCAGACAGACAGCCGTCTCGCACCCTCTCCTCCAGGACAAGTATCCTGCACAGCCTTCCTCGCCCTGCTGAGGTCGTGTCCTCTGCTCCTCATTCTCTGAGACGAGGATCTGAGGACTGCGTGGGTGGCCTGGCGCAGGGACCCTCCCCTCCTCCCCAGCCCTGCGGGCTGCACGGTCTGCTCCTGGCCGCGCCGGCCCAGGTGCACCTGCCCTGCTGCTTGCCGACTCCTGCTCTCCAGGTCATCGTCCATCTGGCATTTTTGGCCGCGTTGGCTAATACTTTCTTTTTTCAGTTGAGAATAAATACACATAACTTAAACTAAAGTGTATGTCGACCATGTTAAAGCATGCAGTTCCCAAGCTAGCAGTCACTCTGCTGTCCCGCCACCACCTCATTCCATCACCCAGAAGGGAAGTCCTGTGCCCAGTAGCACTCTCTCTCCTCTGTCCTCTTCTGCAGTCCGTGGCAGCCACCGGTCTTTCTGTCTCCATGGACTGACCGATCCTGGATATTTCATAAAATGGAATTATGCAGCACGTGGGCTTTGGGATCTGGCTTTTTTTTTTTTTTTTTTTTTTGACAGGTAGAGTTAGTAGACAGTGAGAGAGAGAGACAGAGAGAAAGGTCTTCCTTCCATTGGTTCACCCCCCAAATGGCCACCACGGCTGGAGCTACACTGATCTGAAGCCAGGAGCCAGGTGCTTCCTCCTGGTCTCCCATGTGGGTGCAGGGCCCAAGCACTTGAGCCATCCTCCACTGCCCTCCCAGGCCACAGCAGAGAGCTGGACTGGAAGAGGAGCAGCCAGGACTAGAACCCGGCGCCCATATGGGATGAGGGCACTGCAGGCGGAGGATTAACCAAGTGAGCCACCGCGCCAGCCCCAGGATCTGGCTTCTTTCACTTAGCATGGTTTTGAGGTCCCCCATGTGGTAGCCGGTATCTGGGCTTTGTTCTTTCAGTGGCTGGGTAATCGTCCACCATCTGGGTGTGTCATGCGTTGTCCATCCATTCATCAGTGGACGTGGGCCCGGGTTTCGCCTGGTGGCTGCTGAGAACAGTGTACTGTGAACAGGTGCTTACAGGTGCCTGTTAGAGAGCGATGTCTGGTCCTTCGTGATCTATCCGTGGACCTGGAGCTGCTGGCTCGTAGGGTAACTCCACGCGCAGCACCCTGAGGAGCCGTCCACTGCCTTAGTGGTTTTCATTCCTGGTGTTTGGAGCCTTGCCTCTGGTTTCCCTTAGGAGGTGCTGCCAGCACTGGGACTTGCTCGGGCCCCTCTTCACATCTATGCCTGCACGGTGCCAACGTCATTGGCAGTTCCTCTGCCTCCCTGCCAGGACTTGGCCACCTGCCCACTTGGTTTCCTCTGTAGACTTAATCAGCACATTCCTGTTCTGCCGTTTCAGTCACTTGGGAAATGTTAAATGCCAGGGTCCTGGACTTCTCCATCCTTGACCAGCTTGTCTGACCCAAGATGCCCCTGTCCTGTGGGTGTATGCCCTGGGTGCCCCCAGACCCACAGTATGGGATGTACCTGTGACCAGAGGCATAAAGCCACCAGAGGAACCCTCATGGCGTCCAGGCTGGGCTGAAGCTGCTGTGTCCCCTTGTTGTCTCTGGCTGGCATGTGCAAGGAGAGTGAAGGGTGTGGTCGGATCCGTGTGGGCAGAATGAGAAGTATGGCAGACCTCGGATTCAGTACCCGTAGAGCACAGGGGTGCAGGCTGCCCCGGGTCAGATTGGAGGAGGTCACCGGAAGTGACCGTACCACCTGAGCCGGCCAGGAGGGTGTGGGTTCACAGGTGGGTGACGAGAGCCAGGACATGGAGGAGCAGCCCAAGGGGCCAGCCTCAAAAGGCAAGTCTCTGCTTTCAGGAAGCTCTGCCCTGAGGTGCTTCTTTTCCAGTTTAGGGGCACACATGGCCTGCAGGGACTGCCCCCCAGGGAGGAAGCCACTCCCTCCTCTGCAGTGTAAGAACCTTTGTTATGCCAGGGGCTGGCAGTAGACTCTGTGCTGCGTGTGCAGGACAGAAATGGTCAGAGTGGTGGTTTCCCTCCCCTGTTCCCTGGAAGTGGCCCTGGAGTTTAAGTGAGGATACCTGGCTGTGCCCGTGGCTCTGCCACCACACACGTCTTTCCCTCTGGGCCTCCCTTTGAGTTCTCACCTGTAAAACAGGAGGACGTACATGATGGTGTGGAGGGTCCTCTCCATCACCAGTGGTCTCTGAGCCTCAGAGGTTTGTGCTCAGAGGTTTCACACTCCAGCCCAGGCCCTCCATCCCCAGGGCCCAGTTAGTGATCGGGCTTTTCCCTGAAACCCTCACAGACATGAAGGTGAGAACAGCAAGAGCCTGCGTTCCCCAGACACAGAGCCAGGAGTGCGGGACACACCTTTTCCCCAGTGTGGGGGACACAGCGTGGCTCTGGGCAACCTGCCAGGCGCAGGCAGGTGCATGGGGTCTGCAGGTGAGCCTGGGTTCCCATGACTTGTCCAGCCCATTTCAGGATTCCTTTTTGCAGGTTGGAGCCATCGGCGATGAGGAGGAGTGGGTCAGCCTCTACGAGGAAGAGAATGAGCCCGAAGCCCAGATGCTGGAAATCCCAAACCTCACGCCGTATACTCACTACAGGTGAGAGCAGATGGCTCCTGAGAGCAAGGACAAAACGTGCTTGTGTGTGTGTGTGTGTGTGTGTGTGTGTGTGTGTGTGTGAGAGAGAGAGAGAGAATATGAATCAGATTTCCACGTAGCAATGATAGCAAATCCAAACCTTAACGAGAAGGCAAGAGACACAGTTGAGTATTAGGATGCGTCAAAAAATGTGCAGAAATATGAAATTTAAAAATAACTACATTGGGCACAAAAAGTTTAGAACTCCATGGGGAGAGCTTTTCCGTAGTGCACATTTCCCCTGAATTTTGAAGGCCCCTTCCTATTTTTCCGAGGAGATCACTCCCAGATGTTGGATTGGCGGTGTTCTTTCCATCTGTGTCACAGGCACGAGGCCCTGCAGGCAGAGCTCACTCCTGCATCAGGCAGCAGAGAGGTGGCGTCTTTCTCTACAAACACTCGGCAGCCTCTGGGGACCATTAACAGTCTGCGTGCAGACAGAGCAGATGTCCCGGGAAGATCCGACCACTGCCCCTCCCAGGGCCCGGGAGCTGCTGAGCTCACGCACCAAGCACTTAACGTGCCTTTTAACCTTTGGCCTCTTGATCCTGCAACTTCTCTGAGCAGTAAATCCGCGGCCTTCACAAAGGGTGCAGTGATCATGAGCTGTTAGTGATGTTACAGCTTCCCGTAAGATCCTTGAAGGGGGTGAGGCTTCCCGTTACCGCCAGATGTGGATTTTGCTAATGCCGTCCTTCTGCCAGGACGGATACATTTCGTCAGATCAGAGAATGGAAGAACAGGAATTACTAATTCAGGGAGTGAAAGGTGAAGTTGCATCTTTGTGAAGGGTATTTTTTTCCTGTGCAATACCACAGTTAGAATTAAAAAAAAAAAAAACTAATGAAAGGCACAATTGAACATCCTATGATTAGAGCGTGTGAGTCAAGACACAATCTACTTATTTTTGGAGGAAAATATTTGGCTTAAAATGAGCTGTGGGGATTCAAGACTTGCCATGTAAGATCAGCTGAAGCCACATAATTACCTCAAAGTCAGAATTTTGATTGTACATCAGTGTCCCTGTGTGAGATTCAGGTAAATTTAGGGAACCTCTGTAATGAATATGAGTGTACCTGGGCTTGTTTTTTTATGATATGCAAATCCAATTCAAATAATTATAGATAGATAGATGAAGAAGAGATAGCACTTCTAGCATTAACGTGGACGTTTTAGAGAATGTCTAACTCCACTCTCTGTACAGATCTCAGAGTTACCACCAGGTCAGAATCCAGGCAGGTGGATTCTGGGCCATTGCTCTTCTAAACCAATAGAGAGAACAGGATGTGGAGGTGCCCTTTGCCCTTACAAATTAAAAGTCATTGTTGGGGCCGGCACTGTGGTGCAGCAGGTTAAAGCCCTGGCCTGAAGCGCTGGCATCCCATAAGGGCGCTGGTTCTAGTCCCGGCTGCTCCTCTTCCAATCCAGCTCTCTGCTATGGCCTGATCTAGCAGTAGATGATGGCCCAAGTCCTGGGGCTCCTGCACCCGCATGGGAGACCTGGAGGAAGCTCCTGGCTCCTGGCTTTGGATGGGCGCAGCTACGGCCATTGCGGCCATCTGGGGAGTAAAACAGCGGATGGGAGACCTCTCTCTGTCTCTACCTCTCTCTCTGTAACTCTGTCTTTCAAACAAATAAAATAAATCTTAAAAAAAAAAAGTCATTGCAAGTCCAAAATAAATTGGACTTTGAAAGCCATCATTTGGTAGCAACCTTGTGATACTGCTCTTCCGTTGGGTGACTCCTTTGATCCCCTGAGGGTACCCTAAGTTGAATCATCCAATGGCAGTTGATCACCACATAGATTTCTGGCCTTCCCGCCTGATCCCATAGATTTCCCACCTAATCATGAAGATTTCTATATCCCCACCTGACATGGAGGGGTTTATCTTTGCCATGTGATCACGTAGATTGGTGTCTTTGCCAGCTGATCACAGGGATTTTCATCCTTCCAACCTGATGGTGTTGATTTCTGTCCCTCCAGCTGATCACCGGGCTTCCTAAGCTGCCCACCTGATCACATAGATTTCTGTCATTCTCAGCTAGCCAATTATGTTTCCCTTGGGAACTTAAAAACGACGGAGTTGCAATAGATTTACCCTTCTTTGGAGGCTTTTAGGGAAAAGAGCCTTGTGAGGGGACTTTAAAGAGGCCAGCACCGCGGCTCAATAGGCTAATCCTCCACCTGCGGCACCGGCACACCGGGTTCTAGTCCCGGTCAGGGCGCCAGATTCTGCCCCGGTTGCCCCTCTTCCAGGCCAGCTCTCTGCTGTGGCCAGGGGGTGCAGTGGAGGATGGCCCAAGTGCTTGGGCCCTGCACCCCATGGGAGACCAGGAGAAGCACCTGGCTCCTGCCATTGGATCAGCGCAGAGCGCCGGCCTCAGCGCGCCGGCTGTGGCGGCCATTGGAGGGTGAACCAACGGCAAAGGAAGACCTTTCTCTCTGTCTCTCTCTCTCACTGACCACTCTGCCTGTCAAAAAAAAAAAAAAAAAGAGTTGTGGGGAAAATGGTTTTGAATGACAGGCTTATTTTGGTGCAGAAAAATTTTGAAATGCATGCATAGGTTTTCCATATTATGTATTTTCTGAAGACCCCTTCGTGTGTAATTTGCATTTTGAATGAAGCCAGGTAGAAAGAGGGTGTCCTTAAGCCATGGTCTTTATGGTACAAGAATTCTTTTCTAAGTTCTTTTGTTTGTTAATTTAATTTCATTTGAAAGAGAAAGATCTTCCACCCAGTGGTTCACAATGTGCGGGCAGGCACACTGTGTCTGAGCCTCCCCTGAGAAACAGACCTGGGTTCTGTTTGGTTTCCTCTTTCCCGTGCTTCGGGCTAACCCTCCTCCACGGCTTTACCCCAGATTCCGAATGAGGCAAGTGAACATCGTTGGTCCGAGCCCCTTCAGCCAGTCTTCCCGGGTCATCCAGACGCTGCAGGCACCCCCAGACGTGGCTCCGACCAGCATCACAGTCCGAACTGCTAGTGAGACAAGCCTGCGGCTCCGCTGGGTGGTGAGTCGGGAGCTGAGAGGGGGGCAGCAGGGCGTGTTCACGTGAGTCCAGGGCCTAGCTGTTTCCTGCTTCAAAGTAGCCCCATCACTAAGCCACAGACATCGGCATTTACCTTTGTTGTTGGATCTCGGATCAGCCCAGGATATTGTATAATGAGTAGCATCCGTCACTCACTGCTGGCGCCTGAGGAATGTTCTATGAGGCAGGAAAGCTGGTGGTGGTGCGACACATTGGGCCGAGACGTCTTTACGCCAAGTCGACACAGAACCAATACTCGGTGTGTGCAGCATAGCCAGCTGATATGGATCGGAACACATCCTCACAAAACTAAACCAAAACGTATTAAAGGAAATCATGTCCAAAGTTACTGACAGGGTTTCCTTTAATTAACAGAGAAACATTTCAGGGAAAAGGGAAGTAGAGGATGCTAAGAATATTCTACCAAGAAAATATTTGCCATGGAATTGGTCTCGTAAGACAGGCCGTCCTCTGGGAGCTTGGAGGTGGCCGTTCTCAGATGTCAGCTTCTCATGTGTTCATTCACAGCCCCTGCCCGACTCCCAGTACAACGGGAACCCCGAGTCCGTGGGCTACAGGGTCAAGTACTGGCGCCCAGACTTCCCGTCTTCGGCACTGTCCCAAGTTGTCAGCGACCGGCTGGAGAGGGAGCTGACCATCGAGGCGCTGGAGGAGTGGACCGAGTACGAGCTGCAGATGCAGGCCTTCAACGCCATCGGGGCCGGGCCCTGGAGCGAGGTGGTTCGGGGTCGCACACGGGAGTCAGGTAAGAGGGTGGGGTCATGAACCCAAGTCCCCACCTCCAGCTGATGGTTCCTGACGCCTGTCCCATTCATGTCCACATTGGCACTGTACAGGACCCACTGGTTAGCCCTGGACCAGAATTTAGGTCCAACTTCACTAGGGCCCAGGGCCGTGCATTTCAGGTTGGTGGTAAATTCCGACAGGGACTGGACTCATGTTATTTTTAATTAGGGACAACTTTTATCTCAGGGATAAAAAGCAGGATCTGCAAAGACCCCGTGGGGCATCTTTAAAATACAAGGTGCTGAGGCTTCCTCCTACGTAGATTGAGGTTAAGATGGTCAAGTCCGCAGCAGCCGACAGACCCCCCACTGGGTCAAGTGCCACAGCAACACCGCAGTTTCTCACTCACACAGTCCCAGGTGGGACCTCTGTGTGCTGACTCAGGGCCCCAGGCGCTGCTGTCCTGGGAATTGGTCACCCTCTGCAGCTGCTCCCAGAGGGGACAGAGGGAGCAAGCGTGGGCACAGCTGCCTCTAACCTGTCCTTGGTCAGCCTATATTGCTCTGCTTGTCCCCACCAGCCCCTCACGGGGTCACTGCTGATGGCCAGCAGGAAGAGCAGATGTGGCTTTGGTCGTCGCTGAGTGGTTCCTGCTGACTGTGCTGTGGACTGTGTGCCTCCCGATCACCACGGCTTTGCAGATGGACTTGGATCAGTCCACAGTGGTTTGTGGGAGCAGAGAGGAGTAGGGCTAGCACTCCCTAAAGACATGCTGTGATGTGGCCTGGGCCCCTTCCATCCAGGCTGTTAGTGGGCTTTGGTCCTGAGAAGGAAGGAACTGGTTGTCTTGCTCTCTGGTCATCTTTGGCAGATGTCACAGTGTGGACTGGACAGAGAGTTTTAATTCTGGACTGACTTAGGCTGTTGCAGATAATTCTAAAAATAAATTCCTCACTTGGCCCAGAACCAAGCAAGGAGGTCTGAACGGTGGAGGCTGTGAGCCCAGCCACTGGTCAGAGGTAGTGACCAAGGCTCACCCACTCCTTCCCCAGGAGGACCTCGGGCCAATTTCCGTGCTGACATCCAACGCAGGTACTGCTCTTTCTCTCTGCTGACTGATCATGGTCTTTATGGTACAAGAATTTCCCAGCTGATCACATGGTTTTCATCCTTCCAACCTGATGGTGTCGATTTCTGTCCCTCCAGCTGATCACCGGGCTTCCTAAGCTGCCCACCTGATCACATAGACTTCTGTCATTCTCAGCTAGCCAATTATGTTTCCCTTGGGAACTTAAAAATCATGGAGTTGCCATAGATTTACCCTTCTTTGGAGGCTTTTAGGGAAAAGAGCCTTGTGAAGGGACTTTAAAGAGTTGTGGGGAAAATGGCTTTGAATGACAGGCTTATTTTGGTGCAGAAAAATTTTGAAATCCATGCATAGGTGTTAAATGAAAGCAGTGTAGCCCTGTTGATTTAGTGTTGTCATGGACACAGCTCCGTGTCCTGGAGACAGTTCCTGGCTCCTTGGTCCTGGAGGCTCAGGGGGAACAGGGTCAGGGAGGGAGGCCGCCTGTGCTGCCAGTGTGGGACAGGGCGGCTGGTGCCCACCAGCAGGAACTTCCACCTCCAGTCTCTGAACATCCCCCAGCACCCAGCTCAGAACCTCCGCGCTTCCACCCGAGTGCTGAGACCCGTGGTGAGGAGGGCTTCTGCTGCTGTCGCTGTTGTTTTAAATAACAAAACTAATTAAATTGTTAAGCAGTGAAAACTGCCTCAGGAGGTGAAGTTAGAATTCAGTTATGGGCCGGCGCCGCGGCTCACTAGGCTAATCCTCCACCTAGCTGCGCTGGCACACCGGGTTCTAGTCCTGATCGGGGTGCCAGATTCTGTCCCGGTTGCTCCTCTTCCAGGCCAGCTCTCTGCTGTGGCCAGGGAGTGCAGTGGAGGATGGCCCAAGTGCTTGGGCCCTGCACCCCATGGGAGACCAGGAGAAGCACCTGGCTCCTGGCTTCAGATCAGTGTGGTGCTCCGGCCACAGCACGCCAGCCGCGGCAGCCATTGGAGGGTGAACCAACAGCAAAAGGAAGACCTTTCTCTCTGTCTCTCTCGCTCACTGTCCACTCTGCCTTTCAAAAAAAAAGAAAGAAAAGAATTCAGTGATGGGATGAGAGGTAGGGAGAAGGCAAGCTTAGGAAGGTGGAGGAGCTGCACGGTGCAGAGCTCTGGCCGTCACCCTTCAGGCAGGAGGGAGCGGTGGTAGGCATGGGCACAGGGTGCAGCCGGGCACGGCGGGCTCAGGGCACCTGTACCGTTCTCACTGTATGTCACCAAGCGAGGACTTTCGGGAAGCCGTGGAGAAAGGTTTGCCTTCCATCCTTTTTTGCTCATTCTTCACTTCCCATCAATGACAGATACCAAATAGCTCTGAACAGGACATGGCCATTATCAGGAGGCCCTTATAGGTTTCTGGGGTTTACATTCGCATTGGTCCACTTTCTTTTTAAAGATTTATTGATTTATTTGAAGGCAGAGAGAGAGAGAGAGGGAGGTCTTCCATCCACTGGTTCACTCCCCAATTGGCCGCAATAGCCGGAGCTGCACTGATCCGAATCCAGGAGCCAGGAGCTTCTTCCAGGTCTCCCACACGGGTGCAGGGGCCCGAGGACTTGGGCCATCTTCTGCTTCCCCAAGTTACAGCAGAGAGCTAGTTCGGAAGTGGAGCAGCCAGGACTCCTGGTGCCCGTATGGAATGTTGGCATTGCAGGCAGCAGTTTTAAAAATGAAAAACAGGGAAACTCCCCAGATGTCAGAGGCACAGAGGGCACTGAACCTGGGGCAGCCAGTGCTGAGCTGTAGCTGCGTCTGCCCAGGGTGTCCTGGCCATTTCAGGACTTGGGGTGATACCCAGGCAGCACAGCAGAGCCTGCCTCGGATCCCTGTGAGGTGGGAGAGACCAACATACTTCAGGAAGACAAGGCTGTCGGCTGTGCTTTCCTGGGTGGGGAACACGAAACATATCTACCCACAGGAACTCACGTGTGTCACCCTGGACACGGCATGAGAAAAGAGACTCAAGTTCGATTTCTGAATTTGTCCCATGTGAGTGGTCCAGAAACGCCCAGAAGAGAATTTAATGTACTTGGTTCCAGAAACCAAGTGTGGGCAACAAAAGAAAAATGTGGATAAACTGGATTGTATCAGAACGAAAACTTGTGTGTTGTTTAAAAAAAAATATGCCGCCGGCGCCGCGGCTCACTAGGCTAATCCTCCACCTAGCGGCGCCGGCACACCAGGTTCTAGTCCCGGTCGGGGCGCTGGATTCTGTCCCGGTTGCCCCTCTTCCCGGCCAGCTCTCTGCTGTGGCCCAGGAGTGCAGAGGAGGATGGCCCAAGTCCTTGGGCCCTGCACCCCATGGGAGACCAGGAGAAGCACCTGGCTCCTGCCTTCGGATCAGCGCGGTGCGCCGGCTGCAGCGCACCAGCCGCAGCGGCCATTGGGGGGTGAACCAATGGCAAAAGGAAGACCTTTCTCTCTGTCTCCCTCACTATCCACTCTGCCTGTCAAAAAAAAAATTAAAAAAAAATATGCCAAGCCAAAGAAGATGTAAAAACTTGTTTGCAAATGGATGACAGTATTTTCAAATTACATATCTGAAAAGGGACTTGTATCTGGAATATATAAGGGCTTCTTACTGCTGTGCAATGAATAGACAAATGATCCAATTAAAAACTGGAGTAGGATATGAGTAAACATTTCTACAAATTGGATATACAGATGGTTAAAAGGCACAGGAAAGGAGGTCCCACCACTGGCCCACTGGCCACCAGGGAAGTGCAGATCTAAACCATAATGAGATATCACTTTATACCTGTAAGATGGCTGGAAAAGAAAAGTTGGTCATTTCCCTGTGTTGGTGATGATGGGAAGAAATTGAAACCTGTGGACATTGTGGGTGGAATGGAGATGATACAGCAACTGTGGGAAATGATTGAAATCCTTAAAAGGATAAAGAGTCGCCATACGACACAGCAGTTCCACTCCTGGAGACGTACCCTAGGGAACTGCAGGCAGATGTCCACGGAAGAGCTTACACCTGAATGTTGGTGACAGCACTGTAATAGCCACAAAGTAGAGAGAAACAACTCAAATGCCCATCAGCTGATGAGTGGATAAGAAAACGTGATAAATGAGTACTTCAGCAATAAAAAGGGGTAGAATTCTGATACATGCTACACCGTGGGTGAACCTTGAAAACGTGGTGCTAAGTGGAAGAGGCCAGACACGAAAGACCACATATTACATGCTCCCATTTGTGTGAAATGTCTAGAACAGGCAAAGCTTGAGACAGAGAATAGGTTAGTGGCTGTCTGGGCATGGCTGGAGGGATTCGAGAGGAGTGGGAGTGACTGGTTATGGGTTCAGGACTTCTTTTGGGGGTTCTGAAATGCAACAATTTGAATTGTGTACCTTAAATAGGTGAGTTGTGTGATATAGGGATTATATCGCTGTAAAGCTTTTTTTAGATCTATTTATTTTATTTAAAAGGCAGAGGTAGAGAGAGAGAGGTCTTCCATCCAATGGTTCACTCCCCAGATGGCCAAAACAGCTGGAGCTGTGCCGATTCAAAGCCAGGCCCACGCAGGTGCAGGGACCCAAAAACTTAGACCATTTTTTCCTGCTTTCAGAAGCCATAGCAGAGAGCTGGATCTGAAGTGGAGTAGCTGGGACTTGAACTGGTGCCCATATGGGATACCGGCACTGCAGGGGCATCTTTACCCACTACACCACAGCACCACAATAAAGCTTTTTTAATGAAAGCTCAGCATTTCCTTGATTAGTTTTGTGCAGATAAAATGTTACTGATGGAAGTACCTGTGGTTGGAAGGCCCTGACTGTTGTCCCCACTACCCCTGTATTCTCTGGGAATGGTTTATAATATACCCCAGTCAAGGACTCTTCTCTAAAACCAAATCAAAACAAATAGAAGATACAAAAAGCAAAACAGTCAGGGTTCCAGGC